TTGTCCCTGCAGAACTTGTGAGCACAGACGGATTTTTGTTTCTTAGCCATAAACCTCACAGCTTCTTGTTTTGACATTTGAAATGGCACAGAAAAGAACTCAAGGAGCTTGGATTGATGACGGAGACCTTTACTGTGATTTCTGTTTTGATCTAATGAATTTTCCGGTGAAGATTCCCTGTGGACACAACTTCTGCATTAACTGCATTGAAACTCACTGGGATGAAGAGGAGGAGAGAGGAACCAACAGCTGTCCTCTATGCCGGAAAACCTTTAACCCCAGTGGTGCCTCGGAGAAAACTACAGCACCGCTAGCTTTAGTGGAGCAGCTGAAGAAGATCAGCATCCAAGCTGCTAAAGATGATCCCTGCCATGCTGGCCCTGAACATGTGGCCTGTGATTTGTGCACTGGAAGAAAACTGAAAGCCATCAACTTCTGTTTCACCTGTGAGGTATTTTACTGTAGCGCACATGTTCATTATCATTTTGATGATCCTCCTTTAAAGAAACACAAGATATCCGAGAACATCTGGTCTCATGATGAGACAGTGTCGGCTGCAGCTGAAAGGACTGAGAGGCAGAGAGAGCTGGAGGAGAGAATCCAAGACCAAGAGAAAGATTTCTCCTGTTCGATCTGCCTGGATCGACTGAAGGATCCAGTGACGATTCCCTGTGGGCACAGTTACTGTATGAACTGTATTATGACTCACTGGGATGAAGAGGATATGAGAGGAACACACAGCTGCCCTCAGTGCAGGGAGACATTCTTTCCACGGCCTGCATTAAAGAAGAACATTGTGTTAACATCTTTAATGGAGCAACTGAAGAAGACTGGACTCCAAGCTGCTCCTGCTGATCACTGTTATACTGGATCTGAAGATGTGGCCTGTGATTTCTGCACTGGAAAACAGAGAGCCATCAAGTCCTGTTTATTCTGTCAGGCCTCTTATTGTGAGGAACACCTTCAGCCTCATTACGATGTGGCTCAGTTAAAGAATCACCAGCTGGTGGAGCCATCCAGAAATATCCAGGGGAACATCTGGTCTTGTTATGACACAGTGTCAGCTGCAGCAGGAAGAGCTTAAAGGCAGAGAGAGCTGGAGGAGAGACGAAGAAACATCCAGCAGAGAATCCAGGACAGAGAGAAAGATGTGAAGCTGCTTCAACAGGAGGTGGAGGCCATCAATCACTCTGCTGATAAAACAGTGGAGGACAGTGAGGAGATCTTCACTGAGCTGATCCGTCTCCTCCAGAAAAGAAGCTCTGAGGTGAAGCAGCAGATCAGATCCCAGCAGGAAACTGAAGTGAGTCGAGTCAAAGATGTTGAGGAGAAGCTGCAGCAGGAGATCACTGAGCTGAAGAGGAAAGACGCTGAGCTGGAGCAGCTCTCACACACAGAGGATCACATCCAGTTTCTCCTCAACTACCCCTCACTGCCAGCACTCAGTGAGTCCACACACTCATCCAGCATCAACATCCGTCCTCTGAGACACTTTGAGGACGTGGCAGCAGCTGTGTCAGAGCTCAGAGACAAACTACAGGACGTCCTGAGAGACTCATGGACAAACATCTCACTGATGGTCACTGAGGTGGATGTTCTACTGTCAGAACCAGAACCAGGACCAGAACCAACGACAAGGGCTGGATTCTTGAGATATTCATGTAAAATCACTCTGGATCCAAACACAGTTCACACAGGCCTGGTTCTGTCAAAGGGGAAAAGGAAAGTGACAAAACCCTGTAGATATCAGCCTTATCCTAGTCACCCAGACAGATTTACTGGATGTCAACAAGTTCTGAGTAAAGAGAGTCTGACTGGACGTTGTTACTGGGAGGTGGAGTGGACAGACAGAAATACTACTATAGCAGTCGCTTACAAGACCATCAGAAGAGTAGGGAGTGGGAATCAGTGTAAATTTGGACATAATGACAGATCTTGGGCATTAGAGTGTTCCCAAAATAGCATGGCTTTAAGCTCATTGAAGATAGACAATTATGATTTTTTGCACAACAATAGTAAAACTTCCATATTTGCCCCTGATTCTTCCACAATAGGAGTGTACCTGGATCACACAGCAGGTATTCTGTCCTTCTACAGCGTCTCTGAAACCATGACTCTGATCCACAGAGTCCAGACCAGATTCACTCAGCCGCTACATGCTGGAGTTTTCCTCCACATGTATGATGACACTGCTGAATTCTGTCAACTTAAATAGAATAAACTAAGACCTTAATGTGTATGATTATAGTGTGCAACACAGTTTTATTTTATTAAAGTAATTGATTAGTTTCTTAAATGCATATTCTTAAAAGAAAATTTATTTTAAATTATCATAGCAGCAAAAACTAAATAAAATGACAAAAGATTCTTCAGGTTGAAAAAGTGAAACTAATCCTTTGATGATGTTTGAACACATTTTGTTGAGTCACACATAAGAGAACAGATATTGTCTCATTGTAGCTGATTTCATGTCTTGTTGATTTTTAGGAGCAGAAACTGTCATGTTGCTTCACTGTTTATCCTATTGGTGATGGGACGCTGCCCCCTACAGGACAGCTGTGGTAATTAGTCAGTTGTTGCTGAAGTTGTTGTCATTTTCATAATTATTAGCTTTGCTGAATCATTGTACTGTATAAAGTTGTTTTAACCCTTTTGAATAAAATTCTTATCAGTGTGATAATGTTTGCATTTGTGTTCATTGTAAATTTGAAATTGTCTTCTGTGTAAATATTTAGTATAAGCTTCTAATTTTTGTATTATTTTTTTGCTGTAATAATACTTTCTCAGTTAAAAAAAAACATTAACATAATATCTCAATTTATTTTATTTTGACTAGTTTTGATATTTAACGTTTTGTAATTCCATTGGCAGATTATTTTACTTAAAACAAAACATTTTCCCCCTATTATAAGTGAAATAATCTGCCAGGGGAACTAAAGCTTCTTCATCTATTTTGAGGAATTGTTTCATTAAAACAAGCTCCTATTTATGAAAATGTATTTGTAACTTAGTTTTCTCTCATTTTAAGTTTATCAAGACACTTTCTTTATAAACTAGACCATTTTTTTCTTGGTAAAAGTTTGTGTTTGACATAATTGAGTTCAGAAAGAGTTGAAAAGAGAAGCTGAGAAATGTGAAGATGGATGCCAAAGTTCCAGCAGAATGTCTCTGCTGAGAAAGAGAAGCCAGATGAACATGGAGCTTCACTGAATGCAAGTCAAACAATTTAACCTGCATTAAACTTCTGCTCCGTTTTCTCCCTGATCGTCTGCTGTGCTCCTTCATGATGCTGTTTGTTCTCTAATCTTCTCTAACGAACCTGTGAGGCCAGAAACAGAACAACCAGGTTCACTCTCTTTAGTCAGAAAGTTTCTTCTCAGAGCAATAAACTGCAGGAGTGAATACAAACAGGGTGGTTAGAAATGTACGCCACACTTTTCAGAGTTTTATTGGTAGCAGAAATTGAAAGCTATAATTCATTTTCCTTTCTCTTCATAATTATATTGTACTTTGTTGCCTGAACCCAACAAAAACTAAAATTTGTGTCCATGACATTATATAATGTGTCAAGGGATGTGGAAACGTATGCAGCTCACTGCAATTTTAACAACCTTTATAATTTCACTAGCAAGGACCAAACCACAAAGATATAGATCTAAAGTTTTATTGATGAAGGGAAGAAGGATGTTCAGGTCTTTCTACATGGAGTTTGGATGTTCTCCTTGTACTACTGGGTACTACTGGGTACTACTGGGTACTACTGGGAACTACTGGGTACTACTGGGAACTACTGGGAACTACTGGGAACTACTGGGAACTACTGGGGACTACTGGGTACTACTGGGAACTACTCCCTGAGGAATTTCACTGGACAGACCAAGAAAAGATGAAATAAAAAAATAACATTAAATAAACATTATTTACACAAACCTAACACCAAAACAAAAAATTATACCAATAAATATTTACATTCATGCAAAACATCACAATTCAACAAATTCAATCAAAGAATAAATAAATCTATCTCAACTCCTCAGAGTGTTACCCCTCCTAATCGCCATGGTTCACTCCAGGAGCTTTTAATCAGCACCTGATTTTTTATTTGTAGCAGAAATTGTTTTCATCCTTTGCTGCTGCATCCTGTTGGTGAAACACACCTGGAAAGGTAAGTTCACATTCCAGAAACAATATAATTGTTCAACTCATGAATTTAACCAACAGAGATTTAAGAAAATAAAATGACATTTTTAGCCACAGTTCCCCTGCCTGAATAATGTTAAACCAAATGTCAAAAAACAAGAATAAAAAACAAAAACAAACATTTGCTCTCTAAATGAATTACACATAACACATTTTATAGGTTGTTGCAGAGTGTCCTGATTTAATATGATGGAACAGCTTCGGATGAATTACAGCAGAGCGTGAAAGCCAGGCCTTCTCGTCCAAAATCATTGTCTGACCCCACGAATGCACTTCCACAGATTGAAACACCCTCAGTGTTATTTAAAATATTTTACAACAGAAGTTATTATACAACCTTTCTCCTTGATAATACTGTTGTGCAATCATTTTACTTTAGTCAGTATACTTCTCATGAACTGTAGAGTTAATTCATATCCATCATCTTTTTTCACCAAGTATAAGTTGTTCAGTGTGATCATCTTAAGATGGACTTTGGGTGAAACTTTGGAAGGATTGCTTTAACCTGACCTGATTTAACTGCTCCTCTACAAACAGGCTTCTTGTTTGAATAACTAAGTTGTGTTGTTGAGGTTTGGTGAATCCCAGCTACTTGTTCCTACAGGACTTTTCTGTTAAACTTTAGTAAAACAGGTTATTGCATTGAAACAGTGCAGCTACTTCCTATCCCCCCATCAAATTTGATCTTTGAATCTAGGTGGAGACAATATTTACTGAAGCTGATTGGCTGCAGCCTCTCTGCACTGACATGATAAGTACACGAGAGCTGAAACTAGTTTCAGTTTTCAGGAAATGAAACTCACACAGTCGCTGTGACTGAGAGCAGAAATGGAGCAGAATCAGCCGGACCGAGAAACTTTTTCCTGTTCGATCTGTTTGGATCTACTGAAGGATCCGGTGACGATTCCCTGTGGACACAGTTACTGCATGAACTGTATTAAAAGCTTCTGGGATGAAGGTGAGCAGGGAGGAATCCACAGCTGCCCTCAATGTAGGGAGACATTCACACCGAGGCCTGTTTTAAAGAAGAGCACCATGCTAGCAGCTTTAGTGGAGCAGCTGAAGAAGACTGGACTCCAAGCTGCTCCTGCTGATCACCGCTATGCTGGACCTGAAGATGTGGCCTGTGATTTCTGCACTGGGAGAAAACTGAAAGCCATGAAGTCCTGTTTAGACTGTCTGGCCTCTTACTGTGAGAAACACCTTCAGCCTCATTATGATGTGGCTCCTTTAAAGAAACACAAGCTGGTGGAGCCGAACAAGAACCTCCATGAGAACATCTGCTCTAAGCATGGTAAGGTGATTGATATCTTCTGCCGCAAGGATAAGAAATGTATCTGTTATCTCTGCTCTGTGGATGAACATAAAGGCCACGACACAGTGTCAGCTGCAGCAGAAAGGACTGAGAGGCAGAGAGAGCTGGAGGAGAGACGAGGAAACATCCAGCAGAGAATCCAGGACAGAGAGAAAGATGTGAAAGAGCAAAAGGAGAAAGTTGTGTTCATTAATCGCTCTGCTGATAAATCAGTTGAAGCATGTGAGAAGATCTTTATCGATCTGATCTGTCAGATCCAGAGAAAAGTATCTGATGTTGAGAATTACATCAGGTCAAAACAGGAAACTGAAGTTCGTGAAGCTGAAAAGATACAGAAGGAGTTGGAGCAGAAGATCACTGAGCTGAAGAAGACAAACACTGAACTGAAGCAGCTCATAGACACAGAGGACGACATCCAGTTTCTGAATAATTACATCCCAGAACCAAGACGCTCCTTCCAACTGGTCCCAAATATGCCTCTTATTTTTTCAAACTGCAGAAGAATTTCTGCTTTTCACAAAAATATGGCTCCTCGATGATGTAAAAGCAGCCGCCTCAGAGGCTGAGACTATAGTTAAGGAAATTGTGACCAACAGGTCGATGGAGATTTCCCTGAAGGAGATCAATTCAGAGGCTTCATCATCATCAACTCCCACAGAGGGGCTGGTGGACAGAAATAAACTACTGAAGTTTTCACAAGATCTAACACTGGACTCACAGACAGCAAACAAATATTTGTCTGTCACAAGAAACCGAGCAGTAAAAAAGGATACAGAACAATTTAAAGACGATAATGATTGGTTTAAAGATTGCTTCCAAGTGTTGAGCAAAGGCTCTCTGAGTCAATGTTCTTACTGGGAGGTGCAGGGCTCTGGTAGATTCACAGTGGCTGTAGCATATAAAGATATGTGGAGAGCAGGCAGAATAAATGAATTTGGACAAAATGAAAACTCCTGGGCTCTGGATTGCTGCAAACTCATGTATGTATTCAGACACAACAAAACTATGACTCTGATCTCGGCTCCTCGTTCATCTAGAATAGGAGTGTTCTTGGATCACAGAGCAGGTACTCTGTCCTTTTACAGCGTCCCTGAAACCATGACTCTGATCCACAGAGTCCAGACCAGATTCACTCAGCCGCTGCTGGCTGGGATACGACTGTATGAAACTGGAGACTCTGCTGAGTTCTGTCAACTCAGACGGAACATTTTTATGAGTCTGACTCATACGAGGACCATTGGCCTCACTAGCGTACATCGGTTCAAATAGCTCCCTGAGTTTTAATGTATCAGGAAAGCCTGATACCTGCAGAGAAATGATATCCTATTTTGCAGCAACTCAAAGAAGAAATGCATAGTTTGACACATCACTGTCATGGTTTGTATTTCTTGCATTTTTCATAAATGTTCTTCTATTATCTGGTTTATTCAACTGCTGGTGTTAGAATTACTAAGCATTAAAACCTCCAGATGGGCCTCAGTCTAGTTTTTATCTAAAACAGAGTATTGTGTACGACAGACACTCAACTACATTTGTATGATGTATATATTGTATTTCAACTCTATATTATAATCTCATATCTTCTCTCCACAAAAGCAGACTGTGGTTCTCTGGGTGGCCTCTAGTGTTTGCTTCTTTTATATTAAGCATTTACTAAGTTGGTTTGTCAACGTCTGATTTAAGGCTGTTCAGATCAAAATTACATTGTCCTTAATATTTTATAACTGGTTTGAGTAATTGTTGAGAATTAAATAATAAGTGTTAATAAAATATTTGATTCCTTTTCACTGGATTTTTTCTGCAAGCTTAGAAAACTGAGGCGATGATGATATTTTGATTAACTTGTATTTTTGTTTCTTAAATCATAAGTTGACTGTTTAGCTTTAAACCGATAGAGCAGCTTCTGCCAAATGAATCATTTTGTGACATATAATCTCTGATAACTGTTCTGTTCTTCAGATACCAGTTCTCTGTGTGACACCATGTTGTTGTAATTTGCACAGATGTGAACCAAAATAAAGAGTGAACATGGAAGTTGGGGAGAAAAATATTATGTGTAATTTCTTCATTTGGGGGTTTAATTTATTCTAATATCTTCAACTCCTTCAATAATTTCTTCATCTCAGTTTACAGATTTTCCTGCTTCATGGCGGCCATTTTAAAAACCTCTCCACCATGTTGTTTTCTAGATCTACAAACATTGAACATCCTCGGTTTATGTGAAGTTTTGCTAAAAACAATCAGTGAACCTGGAAAATAAATTTCAGTTTTATGGGAATTCAAACTACTGACAGTTTCTGCAGGAGATTTTATTGAGTTTAATAAAATAATAAATGATTTTCCTCTTTAAAAAAGTGAAAGCAGTTCTCTGATCCTGTTAAAACTAATTTTTTGAGTGCTGACAGGCATGAGAGAACAGATATTATTTTATTGTGGATTTTATGATTTAATAGCTGTCCTGTTTCTCCACTGCTCATTGCTGTGGTTGTAAAGTTTGAACCAAGTTTTGATTGAAGCTTTTTGTTCCTCATGTTTCATAATTTATTTGTTTTCTTCTTTAATCTCAGTTAGTTAAATTTTAACATCTGCACCAGTTTCTTATATTTAAATTTATGGGATGCAGACAAAGGTCAAGGCATGTCCTATGAGTTGCTGGATCTAATTCAGATCATTTCAGGTGATAAAAGCCTCTCGCTTTGGTCAAACATTCATTAAAAAGTTATAAAACTGTGCAAAGCTCAGCAAATAAGCTGTGTGTTATATTGTTAGAAGTGTTAAAAACTGTTCAAAGTTCAAATAAATGAGGTTTATTTCTCAGAGTTCTGGGAACATTTTAGAAACTGTCCAGTTCAGGAGTTTAATGAGGAGGAACTTGATCAGGTTACAGAGTCCAGACTTCAACTTGGTAGAACAGTTTTGGGATGAAATACAGCAGAAACTGTGCGTCATGCCTTCTTGTCCAACATCAGTGTCTGACCTCACAGATGCACTTCTGAAATAATGATCAACACATTTTTAAAAAAAAAAACTTTCCAGAAGAGTTGAAGTTGTTTTACCTGCAGTCACATGTTCACCGGATGTCATGTGCATGCAAAAGTTTTTATATTCTGAACTTTTCCATATTTTCTCACATTACAACCACAACCAATAAAATATTTCATTAGAATTTAAATCAACAGACAAACACAAAGTGGTGCACGATTGTGAAGCAGAAGAAAAATTATTCAGACATTTTTCTAATCTGACTGAGCTCAACCATTTTTTCCAGATATTGCCACAGATTTTATATTGAGTTTAGGTCTGGGCTTTGACTAGACCATTCTAACAGATGAATATGTTATTCTGCTGGAAGCTGGAGCTCCACCCCATTCTCAAGTCTTGTTTTCTGCCAACATTTTCATGAACTTTGCTCTGTCCATCTTCACATCAGCTCTGAAGAAGAGAAGCGTGATGCTGCACCGGCGATGGTGAGTTCAGAGTGATGTACAAAGTTGGTTCTCTGCCTGTGTTGGCTTTTATTCATATTATTTATTTGGTATTTTCTGTCAATTTATAATTGATTTAAGTTTTTTGTTTATCATTTATCTACTTGTGATGTTATGAATGTTGTGAAACGTCCCAGCCAGCACGCATGAGTGGGCCCCACTTGTGTTTGATGTGGGCTACATGGGTAATGAGTGGGCATGGGTTTTATCTGGGCGAACTGCATGGGACACATATGGTTAACCTAAAATGAGACCCATATGGGCTGGCCCATATGGGCTAAATGCATGGGCCCTATTCAGCAACTAGGTGGGCTATCTGGGAATGGGATAGTACTGGGCAACACTATATGGGGCCCATGTGGTTTCAGTATCATGGGCCCAACATGGGAAGCCCATGTGGGCTGACCACATTGAACCCACATGACATCAGCATGGGCTGACCATATATGGGTTAGACCTGGGTGTGGATATGTGGGCCCCAGTCCTTTTTTAAGTGGGCTATCTGGGAATGGGATAGTACTGGGCAACAGTATGTGGGGCCCATGTGGTTCTAGTATCATGGGCCCAACATGGGAAGCCCATGTGGGCTGACCACATTGAACCCACATGACATCAGCATGGGCTGACCATATATGGGTTAGACCTGGGTGTGGATATGTAGGCCCCAGTCCTTTTTTAAGTGGGCTATCTGGGAATGGGATAGTACTGGGCAACAGTATATGGGGCCCATGTGGTTTCAGTATCATGGGCCCAACATGGGAAGCCCATGTGGGCAGACCACATTGAACCCACATGACATCAGCATGGGCTGACCATATATGGGTTAGACCTGGGTGTGGATATGTGGGCCCCAGTCCTTTTTTAAGTGGGCTCTCTGGGAATGGGATAGTACTGGGCAACAGTATGTGGGGCCCATGTGGTTCTAGTATCATGGGCCCAACATGGGAAGCCCATGTGGGCTGACCACATTGAACCCACATGACATCAACATGGGCTGACCATATATGGGTTAGACCTGGGTGTGGATATGTGGGCCCCTGTCCTTTTTTAAGTGGGCTATCTGGGAATGGGATAGTACTGGGTAACAGTATGTGGGGCCCATGTGGTTTCAGTATCATGGGCCCAACATGGGAAGCCCATGTGGGCAGACCACATTGAACCCACATGACATCAGCATGGGCTGACCATATATGGGTTAGACCTGGGTGTGGATATGTAGGCCCCAGTCCTTTTTTAAGTGGGCTAACTGGGAATGGATAGAACTGGGCAAAACTATGTGGGGCCCATGTGGTTTCAGTATCATGGGCCCAACATGGGGAGACCATGTGGGCTGACCACACTGAACCCACATGACATCAGCATGGGCTGACCATATATGGGTTAGACCTGGGTGTGGATATGTAGGCCCCAGTCCTTTTTTAAGTGGGCTAACTGGAATGGGATAGAACTGGGCAAAACTATGTGGGGCCCATGTGGTTTCAGTATCATGGGCCCAACATGGGGAGACCATGTGGGCAGACCACATTGAACCCACATGACATCAGCATGGGCTGACCATATATGGGTTAGACCTGGGTGTGGATATGTAGGCCCCAGTCCTTTTTAAGTGGGCTATCTGGGAATGGGATAGTACTGGGCAACAGTATATGGGGCCCATGTGGTTTCAGTATCATGGGCCCAACATGGGAAGCCCATGTGGGCAGACCACAGTGAACCCACATGACATCAGCATGGGCTGACCATATATGGGTTAGACCTGGGTGTGGATATGTGGGCCCCAGTCCTTTTTTAAGTGGGCTATCTGGGAATGGGATAGTACTGGGCAATAGTATATGGGGCCCATGTGGTTTCAGTATCATGGGCCCAACATGGGGAGACCATGTGGGCTGACCACATTGAACCCACATGACATCAGCATGGGCTGACCATATATGGGTTAGACCTGGGTGTGGATATGTGGGCCCCAGTCCTTTTTTAAGTGGGCTATCTGGGAATGGGATAGTACTGGGCAACAGTATATGGGGCCCATGTGGTTTCAGTATCATGGGCCCAACATGGGAAGCCCATGTGGGCAGACCACATTGAACCCACATGACATCAGCATGGGCTGACCATATATGGGTTAGACCTGGGTGTGGATATGTAGGCCCCAGTCCTTTTTTAAGTGGGCTATCTGGGAATGGGATAGTACTGGGCAACAGTATATGGGGCCCATGTGGTTTCAGTATCATGGGCCCAACATGGGAAGCCCATGTGGGCAGACCACATTGAACCCACATGACATCAGCATGGGCTGACCATATATGGTTAGACCTGGGTGTGGATATGTAGGCCCCAGTCCTTTTTTAAGTGGGCTAACTGGGAATGGGATAGAACTGGGCAAAAAAATGTGGGGCCCATGTGGTTTCAGTATCATGGGCCCAACATGGGGAGACCATGTGGGCTGACCACACTGAACCCACATGACATCAGCATGTGCTCTCATGGGAACATGGGGAGACCATGTGGGGGACCTGAACCCACTGTGGGGTTCAGTGGTCAGTCCCTGGACCTGGGTGTTTTATAGACCCCAGTCCTTTTTTAAGTGGGCTAAATGAGACAAAATTGTAGAACAATGTACAGGGGTTGGACAATGAAACTGAAACACCTCTCATTTTAGTGTGGGAGGTTTCATGCCTGAATTGGACTAGCCTGGTGGCCAATCTTCATGAATTGCACATTGCAACAGTAAGAGCAGAGTGTGAATGTCCAATTAGCAGGGTAAGAGCACAGTTTTGCTCAAAATATTGCAATGCACATAACATTATTTGGGACATACTGGAGTTCAAAAGGGGGCAAATTGTTCACCAAGACAGCAAGTCTTTGTGATTATCAAGAGCCACAGTATCCAGGGTAATGTCAGCATACCACCAAGAATGACGAACCACATCTAACAGGATTAACTGTGGATGCAAGATGAAGCTGTCTTAAAGAGATGTTTGGGTGCTAACCTGGATTGTATCCCAAAAACATAAAACCACGGTGCCCAAATCACGGTAGAATTAAATGTGCACCTCAACTCTCCTGTTTCCACCAAAACTGTCCGTCGGGAGCTCCACATGGTCAATATACACAGCCGGGCTGCTATAGCCAAACTTTTGGTCACTCGTATCAATGCCAAACGTCGGTTTCAATGGTGCAAGGAGCGAAAATCTTGTGCTGTGGACAATGTGAAACATGTATTGTTCTCTGATGAGTCTACCTTTACTGTTTTCCCCACATCCGGGAGAGTTACGGTGTGGAGAAGCCCCAAGATGCATTCCAGCCAGAGTGTTGTATGCCAGAGTGAAGCATGGGGGTGGATCATTGATGGTGTGGGCTGCCATATCATGGCATTCCCTTGGCCCCATACTTGTCCAAGACGAATTGATGCTGTATTGGCCTCAAAAGGAGGCCCTACACCACGCTAATAAGTTATTGTGGTCTAAAACCAGGTGTTTCAGTTTCATTGTCCAACCCCTGTAGTTAACCTGTCACTTTCAAAATTTTGACTGTATGTCAAAGCAAAAG